TATATGAGCCCTAGCGTTGACTTAGTCAGTCCTAGCACGAGTACTACTACATTCATTGTAGGGATTTAAGGGATACGAGCCCAGTGCTGACTTTAATCAGCGTCACTTCTGACTTATTAAACAGTCAGTAAATGTACCAGCAGATACTATCACCCACCTACACCCTAGATAGTAGTATTAGAAATAACAGAAGTGATATTAACAGTACTAGTCCTGACTGACTTCAGTCTGGCTAGACACCTACTATAGGTGAGTGAGGGTAGACAGCACAGTAGTACCCGCGCAAAGTCTACTGTCACTATATACTAAGTGAGGGTGGTGTTTACGGCTGCGGCCTACGCCCTCTCCCGGCGCGGTCATCTCGACTTTGTCTTGTCACCGCTTAAATGCAGTTTAGAGTGGAGTAGATGGCGGCGCGTCTTCTTTCACTATACCTAACCACAGTCACCGTCCCTGCTCTTGGGCAAATGGTGGACATCTTCGCTTGCGATGGTCGAACTAACACACCTGCAGAGCAGATCTTTGTGAACTTTATCGTCCCTTCGTCGTTTTGAACATAATGTGAACTAGTAACGATCACAATAAGTTTCCCTTTCCTTCCACACTGACTGGTAATCATGTTCGGCCGGGTGTCAACTTGCTTATTAGGGCTATTTTCTAGCCCGCCCTACACCTCCCTTTTCAAGTATTTACCGAAATTTAGATGCCTTTTCTAGGACGCATATCTGTCCTTCTTTCAATAGACGATTGTTTGTTGAATAACACGCTCCCAGGAAGTTTCCAATTACTTGAGAAGCGCGATATTTCTTTATAATTTTAAAAAAGAACTAGCCCTCCAGCCTGGAGCCTACTTCGGTTACAGTGTACGTTTGCTTGCTGATAACATTTTTTAAAATTAATTTTCGTAACATTCCTGAAATTAAAGTTGGGCGTGCGCATTTAACCATCAGTCTTGTGGTTACCCCTATACAATTTCTACATTTATTTAGAATTTGGAATTAATAACTGTTAGCGCTAGGAGGGCACTGTCTATGCAAATTTAGTTTCGGAATAAAATTATGATACTGTGTGCAGATAAAGTGTACAAATTTGAAATAATGTGAGCAGTAAGTGTCCTTTTAGGGCAATAGTAAGCGATGTTTTTAAATTAATGGTGAACTAGAAAATAGTCAGTGCAAAATCTCCTACGCGGACAATAGAGACAGAGTTCAACGGGCCTCAATTTTCAAAAAAAAGAGTGTAGGAGAAAAAAATTCTTAGGAGAATAAGATCGGGGAGCATAGTAGGCTAATACTATAATAGCCGTTCAGAATGGAATAATGAAATTCGTGAGTAGTTCGCTCGTGGTCTTAATGCGCATGACATTAAATCTCGCGAAAAAGCGTCAGTTGACGTGGGGCCTCGAAATCTCAGGAGCCAGAATAGAATTGTGGTGATGGTTAGTAGCCAATGAAACGGGAGCATTTTAGACTTGTTACGTCCATGTGACTCCCATCGTTTGACTGACTGGTGGTACGTGTAGCAATGACGAGAGCCTCCGGGCCTAAAATATAAAATTTATTTATTTATCTATTTATCGTGGTTCCTGGGGGGACACGAGGCAGAAAAAAATATCTTCAAGAGGAACTCCTAAATTTCCGATGGTCCATTCTAGGAGTTGTCGAGAAAGCTGCTTGGAAAACAATGAGGAGGATAAAAGATTTATAGAATCAATATACGTATCA